AAATAGTCTAAGACAATTTAAAAAAAGAATCCACAGACAATAAATTGAAGTAAACCATTTTAAAATATTCTATACTCAATACTTTTAAGTAAAACAATTAAAAAAATTCTATGCACAATAAATAAAATCTTCTTTTAAAAAACATTAAAAGAAAAAAAAGAAAAAAATGGGTCACTTACCAGCAGGCAGAATCAGCAGCTCTCCAATGCAATGGATGTAGCAGGGAGCAGGCAGGCAACGAAGCAACAGGACAGGTAAACTTACCAGCTCAGACAAGGGTTGTCGGTTAGCTAGGCACACCACCTGGCAGGCTTAGCCAGCCAGGCAAGGCTGGAGGGGGGGGGCAGGGGGCTTTTGGCTGCGTGGTGTACGCCAGCTCATGGCTTTTGCGAGAGAAGGCCTTAAGGCCTTCCCTAGCAAAAGTTGAAAAAGCTAGCCTGCCACCGCTGCTGCTGCCCACCCGCTTTTGGGCACACAGGGTATGCCAGCTCGTGGCTTTCATGAGGCAAGGCCTGAAGGCCTTCCCTCGCAAAAGCTAGCCTGCTGCTGCTGCCGCCCATCCACTTTTGGCTGCATGATGTATGCCAGTTCGCAGCTTTCATGAGGCAAGGCCTGAAGGCCTTTCCTCATGAAAGCTAGCCTGCCGCCACCACCCATCTGCTTTTGGCAACGTGCGAAAGCTGCCGCCGCCACCATTAACAACCAGCGTCTTTGAGCCCATGGCATACGCCAGTTCACGGCTTTCGCGAGGCAAGACCTAAGGCCTTTCCTCATGAAAATTGACCCGCCGCCACCACTCATCTGCTTTTGACAACGTGCGATAGCTGCTGCCGCTACCATTAGCAACCAGCGTCTTTGGGCCACACAGCATACACCTTCCCTCAAGAAAACTAGCCTGATGCCGCCCTCTCCGCTGTCCACCTGCTTTTGACCATGTGGCGTACACTAGCTCGCGCCCCCCCCCCCTCGTGCTTAGTTGCTTACCTGAGGGAAGCAGCAAGCTGCTGGAAGGTCAATCGAAGTGAAGGGAGGACCGATCAGCAAATGCAATGCGATAGCTGCTCGGGAACGAGAAAGACTCTGACGCCATGCTTTTAAACAGGTCACCTCCAGCCTGCTCACTGATTGGCTGGACTCCAGCCAATCAGTGAGTGGTAGGCTGGGCTAATTTAGTGTGGATGGGCAGGGGAGTGAGCGACAGGGCTGGGGCAGATGTTCCGGAAGTTACTTCCAGATCCACCAGTCGAACCTCCTCTCCCCGGATCGGTAAATTTCACCAACCAATGCGATCCGGCAGAAACCCACCACTGTTGCCACATTACTGAAACAAATTCTAGACACCTTACATGACAGCCACCCAGGAATAGTATGAATGAAAGCTCTGACCAGAAGCTATGTATGTTGACCAAACATAAAGACATTGGTGCATGGGTGACTGAGTGTCAACGATGTCAGGAGTCAAACCCAACAAAGGTTTCCCCCCACTAGAGTGGGACAGACCAAGGGCCCCTTGGTCTAGATTAGACATAGACTTTTGCTGGCCCTGTGCAAGGACAAATGTTTTTCATCACAGTGGATGCCTATTGAGCATGAGTGGAGGTTAAACTGATGTCCTCTACCAGAGCAGAAGCCTTAATCAAGGTCCTCCAGGTTCTATTTGCAACCCATGGCATACCAGATACTTTTGTCTCTGATAATTGTTGTTGTTGTTGTTGTTGTTGTTNAATGGCCAAAGCCAATTTAAAAAAGATTCTATCTAAAATACAAAATACCAGCTGCAGTTATTCACTTAAGAACTGTGGCAAGAAAGGTGGTATAGTGAAAAAAAAATTACAATACTATTTTTGCGTTGTATGAAAATTTTTGTTGCTCCGTATAAATTTTTTAATCAAGCCTCCCCCACCCCCCTCGGGGTCAAAGGTGTCCCTCTTTACCAATCTGAAAATCTGGTCACCTTAACCATACAATAATATCAGAGATTTCTTTCTGGTGACTTGGTGCTACATTCACATCATTTTCCTGACAGTGATTCTGTATGGCAGTGCTTCACTTTTGATTCTTTTAGGATGCTTTCCAGCATCCCATCTAGCCTACAACCCTGCATCAATCAGGTCTACCTTTCTTAGTTTTTTTTTGAGAAGAGCTAATGGGAGCTAGATTTACAATTATCTGATAAAAAGTGCAAAGCTTTGAAAATGAGGAAATATACAACGTGATAAAGACAATCCACCTACCCAATCTTGGTTGCTCTCTTCCATCTTCCTTTCTACCTTCTTCCATATTTCGCTATTTTTCTACCTTCTTCCTCATCAATTTAGGGAAACCTAAATTGTTGTTGGGTTAACACAGTCATTCTTAGCTTCTTATCCAAATGGAGTCTCTATGTTCAAAATCCGCAAATATCACTCTCATGAAATAGATGTGTAATATCAATTACAAGAAATAATTCCACCATAGTGCTCTTTTTTCTCCCTGCCATATAACTTTATTGGATTACGGTCCACCCAGTTACTTATTTCTATATTTACTTCTTGTACTGTATTAAGATAGAGATAAAAATAAAATTATATTAGTTAGCATGAGTTAAAATGGGTTGCTCCCGGTTTGGCCCAGTTTGGCCAAACCGGTAGTGGTAGCGGCGGGAGGCTCCGCCTACCCACCCGGATGCTTCTGTGCATGTGTAGAAGCGTGTGTGAGCACGAGCGAACTGGTAGTAAACCGGTTAGCAACCCACCACTGGCATGAGTATGATGGAAATAACTATAATCAATGTTATTATTGTGTGTGAGTGTGTGTGTTTATATCTATCTATCATCTATCTATCATCTATCTATCATCTATCTATCTATCTATCTATCTATCTATCTATCATCTATCTATCTATCTATATCCTAGAAGACATGTTAAGAAGGAAATGAAGAAATTAATAAGATTTAACTGTATAATGCATTATAAATTATGAAAGAATGCAGCACAGATATTTGTGCCCAGATGACACACTGCTTAAGGAAAGATGGACTGTATGCATTTAAAAATGGGGGGGGGAACTTTTACAAAAAAAGAAAGAATTCCATCAATACCTCTTACAGAGCAAAAAAATAACAATCTGACGTTTCATTCAGTGCAGTAAAAGAAAAGCTTATGCCTTTGCCAGGTTAGTCTTTGTCCCTCCAATATAATCCTTCGAACGAAGCTGAATAGATTTGACACATCCATAGCGACTCCTTGACTGGAAACGCGTTTTTTTTTTTGTAGTCTGAGGAAGATTGACCCTCGCGCTACACTGTCCCGTTCGGTTTCGGTCGCGGCGCGCAAGCGCACTGCTCTCCTTCCTTTCGGCAGTCATGGCTGCCCCCACAGGGACCTTGCCTCTGTTGCTTCAATGGCGAGGATTGATTTTATCCCGCCTGGTTGTGGCAAAGAGGCGGGTCGGTGCGATCCGATTCAGCTCCGCGGAAGCCGCTGCGGTGTCCGTGGGAGAGCCGCAGGCTCCGGGCGGCATGGCGCCGACGAAGGGTAAAACGGGGAGTCTCTTATTTATTTTTTTCGGACGGTAGCCAGCTAAGGGAAGAGGCGAACGGTTAGGTCCCGCATGGAAATCGGCTGGTGTAGATTTTCGAAATGGGAGAGGAATGCCGTTTACTCTGTATGGTCCGTCCGTTTTTACCTACGAAGAATCAGACTGGGCAAAGGCCTCTCTGAGGGGATGGCATTAGAGAAAGCGGATCGGGAGAAAAGGAGGACCACGAGGTGATCCCTTAAAGGGCTCTCCAACTTTGGCCGCTTTAAGACTTGTGGACTTCAAACCTTATAATTCCCAGGCAGCTTTGCTGGCTGAGGAATTCTGGGAGTCGAAGTCCACAACTCTCAAAAGCGGCCAAGGTTGGAGAGCCCTGCCCTAAGATGTAGGGGAGGATTTTTATTTAATTATTTATTTTGGTTTGTCAAGCGTGTATGAGAAAACAGAATATAACATATAAACATATAAGCATAGTATATATATGTATATACATAAGAAATGAGTAGAAATAAATGGGGACAGTAGGACAGGGGTGCTTATGCTCACCCCTTTTACAGACCTCTTAGGAATGGGGTGAGGTCCATGGTAGACAGTTTAAGGTTGAAGTTTTGGAGGTTTGAAAATGTAACAACAGAGTCAGGAAGTGCATTCCGGGCATTATCCACTCTTGCTAAAGTCAACATACATATGTATACCCCCCATATCTATATCTATATATATATATATTATGTCTATGTATAGATATGTATGTGGGTATGCATACATACACACACATATATACATACATTATATATATATATATATATGTGTGTGTGTGTGTGTGTGTGTGTGTGTGTGTGTATACACATATACATACATTATATATATATGTATATATATGTGTGTGTGTGTGTGTGTGTATATGTATGTATGTGTGTGTGTGTGTATATATATATATATGTATGTATGTATGTATGTATGTATGTATATGTATATCTCTGTGTGTGTATGTATATATGTATGTGTACATGTGTATGTATTGATGGATAGATGGATGGATGGAGAGAGAGAGAGAGAGAGAAAGATTATATATATATATATAGCTTTCTAGAGGTTCGTGAGAATCCAGTCAAGTGTACCTTATGTGAACAGACTGCAAATGAAACATAAAGAGTTAATGGATTGAAACCCAACAGCCTAGCGAAAGAGAATTGAAATATCAAGTTGAAATACCAAACCAAATATCCCAAACGTGCTTTCCCCCCCAAAAGGCCGCTGGGCTTTCTTTTCTTCTTTTCCTTCCACGTCTTCCAGGAAAATCAAAGAAAGTCCAGTTGCTTTTTGAAAAAAAGCACCTTTGGGACAACCATGACTGAAAATCTCCACAGACATCAAACCAAATAAAATGTTCTAAACAGAGCAAATAAAATTTAAAACATTAAAAAAAGTTTTCTGAAAGAGTGATTGTTTTCCCCAAATACAAGTGTTGATATTTTAGAATCACTTTAGCAGTGCACTAGAATCACTTTTAGGAGTTGTTTCTTAGCTGATAATAGTTAATTACTTGTATCTTGCCTTTATTGTTTTTACAAATAACTCAAGGCGGCAAACGTTCATAACATCATCTTCTATTAGTAATTAATATTATTAATAGCAATAGATCTTAGACTTATATACTGCTTTACCTCCCTCTCTAAGCGGTTTACAGAGTCATCATATTGCCGCCAACAATTTGGGTCCTCATTTTACCCACCTTGGAAGGATAAAAGATTGAGTCAACCTTGAGCCGGTGAGAATCGAATTGTCAAATTGCTGGCAGCCGGCAGTCAGCAGGAATAGCCTGCAATTCTGCATTCTAACTACACCACCACCACTGCTCATATCAATATAATTAATAATCACTATTATGTAGTGGTTTATTCCAGTATGAATGTATTCTTTTTACGTTTCTGGATTTCACTAAAAGAAGTTCAGAAACACTTCTGATAACTTGCCTCACCGATAAACACAATGCCTTTCTTGAGCTGAAATGCCATAAAGTTGGCCAAGCTTCATTATAATGTCCATATGCATAAAATGCAGGTAAATCAAAGTTTTCAGATGCTTCATCTTCTTACTGCATGTTAGATATGTTTCTATTTGGAACTGCAACTGTTGACAATACAGCTGTGTCGATGTGAGCATTTAAATCTAAAATTTTCTTTATAACCTGTTCTTTAAGCATAAGCCACAGGATTGAATACAAATAGTTCTCAACTTTCAATCATTCATTTACTGACTGTTTAAAGTTATAATGGCACTGAAAAAAGTAACTTATGACCATTTTTCACACTTACAACCATTACAACATTCTTATGGTCATGCGACCAAAATTCAGACAGTTGAAATGTCCTGGGGTCATGTGATCATTTTTTGTGATCTTTCATAAGCAAAGTCAATGGGGAAGACAAATTCATGTAACAACCATGTTATTAACTTAATAACTATAGTGATTCACTTAATTGTGGCAGGAAAGGTCATAAAATGGGGTAAAACTCATTTAAAAACACTTGCTTAGCAACATAAAGTTTGGGTTCAATTTGAACTCAATTGAGGACTACCTGTAATGAAGTCTACAATTTAGATTCATACATTTCTTTTCTGGTTAAAATGTTTTTATTTTCCATTTTTCATTTTCATACAGTCACATTACAGTTACATATATACAGTCACATATATACTGTGCATAACCGGGGCCATACAACATTAAACAATAATCACAGCAACAATACCCCCAGAAATGTAAATAAAACTCAAACTCAAACTCAAATAGAAACACAATATACCTCTTCCATTCTCCATACACCTCTTTCTTCTGCCCCCCTCCAACTTACTATCTTCCCTCCACCATTCCCCTCTACCCTACTTCCCCTCCCCCTCTACCACTCCTCTCTCCCAGTCCACTCCTTCCTTCTCACCCTCCCTCCCATCCTCTCTCCCACCCTCTCTACCCCGCTTTCTTCTATCCCACTCCTTCCCTTGGTGTATTTCTACTATATGTCAATGTATTCAGCTTGTCCTATTTTTACGGAGAAATTAAAGAGAAACAGTATACATGTGAAATCGCATTACGTTGAAATCTAACACCTAGTATATGTCCCCCCCCACCCCCCCCCCCCCCCCCCCCCCCCCCCCCCCCCCCCCCCCCCCCCCCCCCCCCCCGACTTCCCAGAGCCCATACACGGTATAGATTTTTAACGAACACAGTCTAAAATATATTGAGACAAAAGAAATAAAAAAAGAGGTTAATAACATCTCTACATTGATCTTAGCTTCTTCAGATTCATACATTTCTAAAGCCGTGAGTTTTCACTGACCTTCCTATTCTGTTCTGCAAGAGATGCCTGAGATAGTCAGTACTTTGATCGAACAATGCAACATTCTCATATGGATTAAGATCATAATAGCCTCAGCTTTAAATTCAGCTCTGATATAATGCACACTTTGTTACAAAAGTTATCATATACCCAAAGTCTGCCCGGATCCTTTCAACTGACAAAGTATTGGTAAATTTAGTGTTTTTCTGTGCTATAAGTCAATGTTGGAAGAGTTTTAACCTGGAAACGTTTAAAATTGGATATCTTGAGCTGGGTATTTCCAAATTAAAAGCTTATTCAGTAACTGGCAACATGCTGCAAATCTCAGCATGCATCTCTAGCTCAGTGCCCAAGTGTGCTGAAGTGGAATTCTGGGATCTGAAGTGTAGATACATTAAAATTGGAAGATTGAAAAACACAGCTGTAACTGCATAACCAAGAATATGAAAAAAAGGCCATCCAAGATAACATTTAAAGGCCTACATCCTTTTTATTTTGATATATAAAATAATATAAGTATTTTTTTTCCTTTTATCAAAGCACATTATGTTAGATTAAACATATTTCATACCAGATTATTACCCGATCTTTCTGAAGTTCCTCTAACCATTTTAATAAGTAACATTGATAATATTAACCATATAATATTATTTCCCCAGACGGGGGGGAATTGAACCATGCATGGTGATATGGCGTCATTTGCATAATTGCTAAATTAAAAAAAATCAAAATATATGTTTGGATTTACCTGAGTTCTTTGATTTACTTTTTTCAGCTGCATTCTCATGATTTTACAATTCTTGTAAAATTACACTGAGGTTCTTTGTTTTATATTAGGTGGTTTTAGTTCAAAGATTCTTTTTTTAAAGAGCAATGATAAAACCATACTTTGACAAAATTGAGTTGATAACCTACATCTGGGATTTATGTCATGTTGAACTATATCTCTGCATTCTCCCTTTTAATATATTTTTATGAGGACGTGGGTCGTACATCAGAATCCCACATTAGGTTTATTGATACTCATTGATGATCACTATCCTCTTGTTTTTTAAATCTAGAAGAATAACATTTCTTATTTCAGTCAGTTTGGGAAGGGGCAGAATTGATTCAATTCTTTCAAATATTTGCCCTTTTTTGAGGTTAGTCACTCATACTCACTTCATGTGTTGAGCTTGGTTGTTTTCTTGCAGATGTTGAGCACTGATGATGTTACCTAGTTTGGATAATAAACGTCTGCAAGAAAATAATCAAGCTCAGAGAACATGGATTCCTCATTTCAATTCTGAGCTACAAATATTCTTTTTTATTAGCACTTAACATGTTTTTTTGCTAAAGGTACTCTGCAAATAAATGGGACATCAAACCCTGAAAAATTAGCTTCCATATCAATTCAAACTACATCACGAATTTGGTTCCCAACTTCCCCATTTCACAAGAACTCTGTCTCTTAACTCTCACTGGGATTTGCTATGAGTCAGTAAAATGCTATTTTAGATATTGTAAATACTAACAAACACAACAAGGATACCTCTACTTAATCAACCCAATCTATTTCTCTTGATAAATTTGCTACATCATCAGTGAAATAGTTTATAAAGAACAGGTCAGAGAATTATTCAAGAGGGACTCAGAGAAGAACAATGTAGTGCTTTGCAACCCAAACCTTTTATTTCTTTTTTTTTTTTTTTTTTTTTTTTTTTTTTGTTGTAAATGTTTTATTCATTTTCATTTTCAATTTTATACATTCACTTATATACTGGATATT